TTATGTGTTAAAATGATAGTATTTAAATGAAGATTTATTATAATTTAGTAATTTAGTCATATAATCAGAGTGTATCTAAAAATTCAACTTTTCTGTACATAGATCATTAAATGTCTGTTTCTGAACATATGAGCTTTCTGAAATGATCTGAAATGCCAAGGCCCTAGGATTGAAATGTAGTTCGTTGAACTTGCACAGAAATATTAAATATGATATTTAAAGCTCCTCATGAAGAAATGTATCTTTCCCAACTCTTGAATTAATGATGGTATCCACGTCAACTTTGGAAGATATATTGATGTTGCTTGATTCTCTGTGTTTCTCTATCTTTGATGAAATGTTTGCACAGAGCATTTGTGCCTTATCTTGCAAACACAATGTAAAATTCTTTGTTTATGCATGGACATCTCAGTTTTATTTGCCTCAATTATTGATTGTCATCTTGCCTGTCTTAATGTTCAAGATCCATTCCTATACCTTATTAATGTTGACAGGAATTAAAATTTTTCAAATATAATTGTTTCAATTCATCTGTTATTCTGATTTTTATGAAGACCTAAATATAAAAAATCACCTCAATACTGCATGATTATCATATAATGCAACATAATTGAATGGTTTTTAAAAACTAATGTTTGGTGTGGGAAGTCCTTCTGTACATGTGTGGCTTTTATTGGCTAATGAATAAATAAGCTGGCTTGGCCTGTGATAGGGCAGAATAGAGCTTGTTTGGAAAAATTAGGCTGAATGCTGGAGAAAAAAAGGCGAGGTCATGAGATGCCATGGAGTCGTCAGAGCAGAAAGATGCAAGTTGCCAGCCAGAGCCTTACTGATAGGTCACGAGCCTCATGGTAAAATATAAAGTAATAGAAATGAGTTAATTTAAGATGAGTGAACTAGAAATATGCATAAGCTAATAGGCCAAGCAGGGTTGTAATTAATACATTTTCTATGTGATTATTTTGGTTCTAGGTGGCCAGGAACAAGCAAGCGACCTTCCTACAACAAACATTTATTTAACTTTGCTTTAGATCTAGTAAGATGAAGTAAACATAATAAAATGAGTTATATTCTAGGAATGAAGAAGCCACTCTAGTAAATAAAGATACAACGTCCTTCTTGAATATGATGCCTAATTACTTTAAAGATAGACTCCTCGTGTTTTACTAAAAGCATGTTTAAAATGTATGTGGTAGTAAGTTAATTTAAGAATTTTGCATCTCAGTAAGTTCAGTAAGTACTCCGGTGTTAGGATTCGTTAAGGTCGTTTAGCATATAGTCACAGCAATTCTTTTTGTAATAAACAGAAACCAAAGGACAGACAACATAAATAATAATCACTCAGACTGTGGACTGAATAGTAAGCATCTTCAGATGTACTCTCTTGTCACCTGACACTTTCTTCATTAAAGATCAGCGTGGAAAAACATCCAGTCTCCTGAGAAACCCTATGTAGCAGCAGTCGCTGCAAGGTAAACATAAAGGCTGATACAGCACAAGAAAATTTAATGTTTTGGTTTGCCTCTGGTAAGAAACATGTGTCTCTGTGCCCCATTATACCATTCAATGGCTCTCTGTGGTCAATATGAAGATCCATATGGAGACACCCACATAGGTATTCTCATACAAGAAGGTAAACTCATGAGAGTGTAGGTCTGAAGGTGAAGTTACTCATTTCATATTTAATAACAATATATTTAAAATGTTTGGTTTTCAGTGAAATTATCATATCTTTTCCACTTCATATTTGTTAGATAGTGCTGATCATCTTATGCATGTCTCTTCACACTAGACAGTGAACTTACAAACAATAATCTATTACTGTCACACACACTCCTGCACACATACACACAGTGATGGACATCATCTCAGGCTTTTTTAATGTCAGACAAGTATTTCATCCTTGACGCTTGAAATGTACTTTCATGTTAACAGTATTATAACATAGATCACAATGAAATTCTTCCTGTTTCAGGATAATTTTCTGAATATACTTATATATCATTTTATAGAAATGGCTATTTTTCTCTCGTAGGTGACCGATTCAAAATCTTATTGTGCTAGACACCTGCTTATACAGAAGCAATTGGTATGATGTTTTTTAACGTGGACAATTCTACCTAAACTTTTATTATTGTATCATGTCTTAGAGAAGAATAAGTTGTTATTACTCAAAATAGACTTTAACATTCTGCTAAAGTTAAATTTTCTCACTTACACCAAGGCAATAAATGCTTTTAAAAATCTTGCCTAGCAAAATATTTTCTGTTTAGAATTACTATGTCCGTACTCAACATTTTCACGAATGAAAACTCAATATAAATTTAAAAATGACAACATGTTTTATTAAAGATGCATTCATATGTAAATGTCCTTTTATGCTTTAATAAAATTATTGTATAATTCCATTAGTGATAATTAGCTTGACCTTTAAAAGGCATTGTGACAATAAGCAAATTGGTCAAGGAGTAGGCAACAATAATCTGTAGTTACTGGCAGTCTGCGACAGTCTTTATCTCTTCTCAGGTAGACAGAATTCAAATTGCCTTCATTAGAGGGGCAATATGCCGTGCAAAATGAGCAAGGCACTTATCAAGAGGCTCTTTCATTTGCATATTTTTGCTGCAAAACCAAGCAACAGTGTTTTCTAGCTGCTCAAGAGCTGTGAATGCAAGGAAGAAAACCACCCAGGTAAACAAGCCAGGACCAGATTAAAAGAAAGACAAAGTTTATCAATAGGAATGTCAGAATTGTGCCTTTTGTTAATCTGTGCTACAAAAGACAACCTTGTTGGCTTTTAGAAACTAGGATGTAAACTGGATGAATGCTTCTCACATCTACCAATACCACGAGCAAAGTTGGAGGCTGCTCTTATAAGAAACGATCAATACTTCAGACTGACACTACCTAGCTTCTAGCTTTTGCTGCTTAAGATTCTGAATTTCAATTAAGCAATAAATCGTTATGGAATTATATTTTCAGATGCCAATTAACATGCCCTTAATCCCTAGCAATTCTGAAACACTGTTATTTTGCAGAATTTTTCCTATAGCATTCTTTCCAGAGCAAGAGTCTTAACTGACCGGTAGAGATATTTTTTTTCTAAATTTATGACCAGATATCAAATAATTATATTGCTTAAGATTACAGCTGGAGCTTTATATTACAAGAATATTATGATTATACTTTAAGTTACAATCCACAGTACAAATCAAGAAAAATAGATTGTATTCTTGAAAACATCTGGTCAAACATGTCTTGACCTAGCTATAAGTATTAGGTAATGCTGTATTTGAGATTTTTTTTCCACTGACACATTTCTTGGAAAACTTTTTAAATCAAATGAAACACTTAAGCATTTATAGTACTGGTCCCAGTTAGGTCAGTGTAAACATTTTTCTTTCCTGTATAATCAAATCCTCATTTTTTTTGTCAGTAAACTTGTTTATTTATAAATGTCTGTCTGCTACCTAGTAGAGCAGAGACCTAAAGCTAAGTGCTGCTTTTATTGAGGATCTCAGTAATTTAAGAGAAAATATAGACAGCTTGAAAGACATAATCTTTATGCAATATTTACATAATTTAAATTTATGAGGACACAAACTAAATAAATGCAACTGGTAACATTCAACTGTGACTGCCAATGTTTCGGTATTAGAAATGGAGTGCTATAAATAAGTAAAACATATTCTACACACAGCATACATTGAAAACATTTCGACTTCCAGTGTTCACAGTCTACAACATAAATTTCATATTACAAATTGAAACAAATTTGTTGCAGGCTATTTGAGATAATGATAAGTTAACCAACATTTAAATACAAATATGTTTGACTCTAAAGCTTTGACTTTCCATCCTCCATAAAAGTTCTATGACTTTCACTCATTAGCTTCAGAAAACTTACTAATAAGGTAAGACTAATTTAACAATAAAATACAGAACTATTAACTTGAAAGTTCGAGTTAGTATCACATATTTTATTTTGGTAAGCATTAAGATTAATTTGTACTTTGAAACTGATGATTCGTTTTAAATTTAGCTTTACAAAATTTACACTATTCATGACTTTACTAACCTCTATGTATCATAAAAAGAGCAAGGTAATTAACAAAATCCATCTTCTAAATGTTCTCATGAACTAACAAAACTTAATTTTATGATTAAGATTAACTCATCAAAGAGAATTAAGAGTTTTATTAGTCAATCAATTAGTTGTCATCAAAGCAATACACATTGTAGTGAGCACCATTTACAAGAGCAAGGAAGGAAAATTATTTAGGGTTAAATTATAAGAATGAAGAATTTGAACACTAAGGCACACCCGGACTCTTTGGTCTGAAAATGCACATTTGTGTACAAGGAGAACTCATTCTTGGATTGGATTTTCTAGCAGTTACACTGCTGTTGGGCATCAGAACATAATGATGGCAATTAGACAACGGAGAGACATGTTTTGAAAAAATACAAGAAGTTAGCTTATGAGAAAATATAGATAGTATTAAGATAATTAATTACATTGTCATGTCAGAGCCTAATTAAATATATGAAAGACAAAAGAGGAGAAAAAAGGGTTATAAACAAGAAGAGTGATAGTGTAATTGAGATAATAGGACTGAAGATATTACAAAATACACAGTGTAGCATACTATGTATGTTAGAGTATATTTCACATGGGAAAACGACAAAAGGTATATATGATGACTATCTCAGGAATTTAAGGATAAACTATAAATTATTTTTAAAAAGTAATGATTTACAAAAGCAATGCAATTTTGTGTTTACACTTATACCTATTACTTCAAAGAATACATACATAACTAAACAAAGTAGTAATTTTGATCAATTATTTTCTCAATATAAAAAAGCCTTAAACACTAATTTTATACTTTTGTAAGCAATATATAGACTCTCTGCCTTAAGTTTATCAATTAAAAATTATTTGAGCATCTTCAAATAAAACAGAGATCATTAATCTTGGAAAGAAATGATGCACTCACCATCATGATTGGGATTTCCCAGTGTCCATGGCTCATCAGAATCAAAATGAGTATCTCCTCCAATTCCTGGTCCCGGGAAATAGGCATGTGCCAAAAATCCTCCCTCCCCATCAAAGGGGGAACTGTCTCCATGAAAACCAGATGCAAAAATGATGGTTATATCCACATCACGTTTGCCATTTTCTAGTTCACTGTAGGGAACTTCTTCAAATGTTAATGGAGTTACATTCTGCCACACATCAAAGGCACGGCGAATTGCTCTCCTGGTCTCAGGGTCTCCAACTTTTGGAGTTACGTTCTTTATACTGAAAATGGAAAAGACAATGATCAGTGTGGCTTCTTGGGTAATTTTTTCACCTCTTTAGGTCAAAATTATCAATGAAAATGACTGTATTATAGAGCAATGGAATTCATTCACTTTTAGTGACTTTATAGACATTGTTCATTACACAAGGCTATTTCATTATCATCAAGGGGGCATTCATGTGCCAAGGCTATTAGGGAGAAGATCTGCGTAGGATGGCTAGTGGGAAGCAGGATGACAGATCAACCAGCTTTCCAAGTGATCAAACAGGTGCAGGAGCTTTGAGCTGACACAAAAATACCAATTTCCTTTTTATTTCCCTCATTGAAGATGTATATCACTGTAATTAGCCAATCAAATACTATCTTTATCCTTTGATCTGTGAAAACAAACACAGCATGAAGCAAGTTTTAATTTTTTTTAACAAAGGCCCATTTATTGTGGATCTGATATTCTTCTCTGCTTAACTGCGTCTTTTTAGTTAAAAAGTAAAGTAACTAAAATAGCTACTTACAACAAAGGTTTACAAATTTTGTGAATTTAAATGGAACCAGGAGTAAATGAAAATGTTATCTAGACATTATCAGCTTCACCCTCATCTAACATTAATATAAGTTGATGAAGCAAATTACTATTTTTGATTCATTTAATCCTACTTATAAATATATATAATATTTTATATATATGATATATATGTAATTTCCTGATATTTTCTATCAAATACAATATAAATGAAATGAGAACATATAGTTTTATGGTACAGAATGCGGCTACAGTTTAAAATTAACAGATGAATGCTACAGGGTTCAAAGGTTTGAAAATTTTTCAATCAGTAATATTCTCCACATAAAATTACATAAAATAAAAGCTTTAATATAAAAAATGCTATGGTGGTCAATAGATTATAGCTTCCTTTACAGTCATCAGAGGTGATTGGCAGAGCTGCAATCTACAATGACAGTGATGTAGCCAAAATATGCCATTTAAACTGCATGCCATTGTTAATATCGGACTAAAATTTACTGTTCTTTTTCAGATTTATTTTTCAACATTAAAAACTTTTCACAATGTACTTTCTTGTAGAAAAGGTAACATTCTGATTATATATAACTAACTTGTTTATAATCATTACAAATGCCATAATAATAATGACCTTATTTGGGCATTGTGAGTGTGAGAAATACGCAATAAACCTTATTTGATCCCACCAACAATACATGGAGATGAGTATTAATACATACCTCACAAAAATGTTACAATTTGCATGAATTTAAAGGAACCTTCCTCGTGAGAGAGATGAGAATATTCTGACAAGCTTTTTCCTAAATACCCTGAGAGTCTATTGTTGTGAAATCCGTATACCCCATACATCTAAAACTAAGCATTTTTCCTTTATAATACATAGTCCAGGCCTTATTTACATTTTAATATGTCGATGAATATTATTTTTTCTATACAAAAAAGCAGAGCAAAGTTGGGAAGCAAGGAGTGATCCAGGAAGCCACAAGTCGTAAAAGGCCTTGGAGTGCAGATCTTCTAGCAGATTCCAAAAGTCAAAAAGTAGCTGGCATAGTCTGGGCAGCAAAAAAGTTAGTATCAGAGGAGTTATTTTTTTATTTTGATTTCAATTTTATTAATTATTCTCATAACTGAGGTGAATGCTTAACTTTCAGAACAAATCTCTAGCATGAACTATTGACAGAACCTCTGTTATGTAGCATTAAAATCATTTTGCTCATAATTTTTAAAAATGCTCTCTCCCTTCACATCTTATATGTTGCTTTGAGTGGAGGAAGAACAAATGGACATTAGGAATGACTCTTGATGTTGGTCTTCTGCCACAAATAAATGACTTGATTCACAATAAGGAACATATACAGTGGCAGAGAAAATGCTAAAATGGAAGATTGTAAGAACTTTTGCAAACCCCCAGATGGAAGATAGTGGAGCTAAGATCAGCAGGTGTGAGTAGAGACGGGATGCATTTTTGAGGGGAAACACACAACTAGATTTAACATTAGTGAAAGGATGGGTAGAAGAAACTGTTTTCTGCCTGCTCAAGGATGGTAGTGTGTTGGTTTGAGCAAGTCTTGTCCGCCATTCAGCATACTGTCCTATGTTACATTGTAAGAAGGAGGAAGTATTTCCTCGGAAGCATCAGAGTCTTCACAGCTTGTTAGAACTCATTTCCCATCTTGATGCAGCAGAGGCATGCCAAGTGAAGGCATCATTCTTAATCTTGTGCAAATTAAATTACTAGTAACCATTTATCCTCTTTATACACCATGAAACTGCAAAACTGCTAAAGGCAGGCTATTTGGAAGGATTTCCTGCAGAATGAGTCCTTATCTAGATTCTAGACTATATTCCAAGAGCGCTTGTATGTCTTTGTAGTAAGACATAGGAAACTGAAAGAACCAAAACAATCATAACCTCAGGTAACAAGTGAGTGAGTAAGGAGGCCAACAAAAGATGCTAAATGATGCTCTACTGACAGGAGGAACCAAAGACAGTTAGCACTTCGTGTCTAGACAGAGAAACAATCAGTAGCAGGTCAAATTAAATTTGCTCATTTAAAAAATAGAGCTGAAGTGAGGTGTCATAAAATGAACAGAAAAGAGAAGGTCATAAAATCAGAGAGGACTGACAGGGAGGTAATATTCTATAGAAGGAAAATCCTGGAAAGCCGTAAACATAGAAGCCTCTGATCGATTACAAATATGATTATATCTTATGGAAAGTGGATGATAGGGCAAGAGTGACAGGAAAAAATTCTTTTCCCGACTCACACAGAGGACAGACAGGAGCATGAGAAGAGTGATGGTCTTGGAGATATAGAGAGTGTGTGTTACCACATATTCTGACAGAACTGTGAGTGGAGATTGGTGATTTAATGCGCAATGAAGACATGAATTTTATTTCAAGTAAATGGCAATCTTAAATGATGAAAACAAATGAAGTTATATTCATACAACTTTTAGGTAAGCATTCAGTGACAAAGCCGTGAGGACAATACAGACTAACACACACAGTCCATGCTTTAATTTGGAATATGTCAGTCACTGATCTCTAAAGCCACACACTGACGAGCTTCCAAAATAAGCTTCACCATCATATATGTGGAATTATTCATGAATAAATTTAAACCGTAGATGTGTACTTGAGGGCCATGTTGGGAGTTCAATATTGGAGACTCAAAAAGCAAGGCGTCACTGCAAGATTTTCTTCTTAATCACCCTTTATTTAGTTGATAAGTGAGATAACAGAGGCACAGAGAGATCATTGGGTTATGGCAGAAAAATACAGTGTGTAGCCTTAAAATGTTATATGTAATGCACAAATAACCAAATGTGTATTTCATAAAATGAGGAATACTAAAAATTTTGACAACTGTGATGAAGCTAATTTAATTAAAATGCATTACTTGCCTATTTCCTTTTATAGATAAAGAGAACAATCATTTATTTAGAATGGATTTTATTTGCTCAAATACTTATCTGGCTATTTCATAGAGAATTTACCCTCTTCTCCAAATTTTATTTCTGATAACATTTGGAACTTTAATCTAAAAATTACACCAAGCCCAAGACAACCTTAAATGAATTAAAGTAAAATAATGTATAGATTTATAGCTATCAGAATAATTAGCACTGGTATCAAAATGGGTGAGCTAACTTTGTTAACTATGAGGATTTAGGATTTCTACTTTTAGCATCATTATATATTGTGCCAGTTGATGTAATGATAATGACACATAGGAAATCGCTACTTTATTTTTTCTTATGGTGGCAAATCATTTTCAGATTTAGACTGCACTTTTACCATTGATATTGGAGGTAAGAACAAAGATAGACGTCTTGAAATTTAATTAAGATACTAAAACATTGTAATATTCTTTCCTCAAGATCATTTCAGTTGTGGGAATGTTGACTCATTATTGTGAGAGAAAGGACTTTTTTGACATAAACTATCAATAAATAGTCATTGTTTTCTAGGCTTATAGATAACTTCCAGGCTGTTTATTTATTGCATATAGTCTGTAGTCAAGAACTTTGTCATTACATGATCTCCATATAGAAGAATATACAGTCAAAAGGGAAAAAGTCAGCCATAGGAAAACATTCATACAACTTAAACTCTGGAATTATCAAACTAGTTATTCAAAACTCCTCATCAATATATCAGAATCTTAATAGAAATGTAGTTAACATAAAAATATATGAAATGTATGTGTGTTTGTGTGTGTGTGTGTGTGAACCAAGTGAAAGAAACTGTAAGAAATGAAGTAAAGGACAGGATAGAAATGAAATTATAAATAAAACAAATGAAGAATGCCTCTGATATTTTCATTATGGCCACGAAAAAAATCCATGAATTAAATATTGCAGGAACTTTCTAACCTGCAAGGTACTGCAAATAAATAATAAAATCCAGAATATATAATCTGGGAACTATGTAAAAATATGTAAAGATTAAATCCAAAGGAAGAAGGGCAGATATAAAAATGTCAGAGAATATTTTAGTATTAACAACAGAAATCAAGTGACAGATACATGAAACTCAGAGAGCATTTCTGTAGAGGAACAAAACAAACAACAATAGATTTCTCTTTATTAAAAAATGCAAGAAGAAAGTAGTACAGATGTTTAAAATGGTCAGACAATAAATAATAAAGTCACCAGTGAAATTAGGATTCAAAAGTGAAAAAATAGGTTGTTCAAAGAAAAACTAAGAAACTCTTGTCAGTGGGCTTTCCTGACAAGAAATTTAAGACTTCTTCAGAGATAAGATTAGAAATTCAGATCTACATAAAGAAAGGTACATCTTTTTTTAAATACCACAAAGCAAAAAAAATTTTGTGACAAAAAGATTTAAGCTAGCATTAAAATGAAATGCTTACGAATAACTCTTTTATATACAATATTTAGTATACATATGTACACACACATATATATATACCATCTATATGAGAAAGAATAGAAAATTCTGATATAGAATAATATAGAAATAAATAGGAAAGCAGTCATGTTTGTGTATAGGAAAACTCGGTATCTTAAGGTTGTGGTTCTTTGTACCTTGATTAGTAGACATAGCTAATCAAAATCATATCCAATTATTTGATAGATATAAACAGATGGATTTCAAAGTTCATGCTGAAATTTATGAAATCCAACATAAACAACACAATACTTAAAAAAGATACAAGCAACTAAAACACTAGATATTATAGTGATTTTCAAGTTAGTAATTGAGATAATATGATGTTGATTTAGAGCAAACAAGTCATGGATAGAATGGAAGAATAAATGCAGAGAGTGAGCAATGATCTGTGATCACTGAGTGAAAAGAATACAATTTGAAATATTCAGATTTTCTCAACTTCTAAGCAATATTGATGGGCATATATGAGTGACTACAGAAGCTGAGGAATGTGCCTCAATTGGTAGTGCTTAACTAGCATGCAAAGAGCCCTGGCTTTGTTCATCATTCCCAAATAAACATGCATTGTGCTGCACTCTCGTAATTTCATCACTCGGGAGGTTGGGAAAGAAATCAAATGATTAGAATACAAGACAAAGGATCATCTATATGTCCTTGATTTTGATATTGTATTTTCCATTTATTTATTTATTCATTTTGCAACCCCATAGCAGTTTTCCCTCTTTCTCTCCTCCCAGTCCCTCCATACCTCCTCCCTACCTCCATTCACCATTCACTACTCCTCAGATTCTGTTCAGAAAAAGGCAGTCCTCCCACAGATATCAAAAACATGGCATTTGAGGTTGTAGGAAGACTAAGTACCTTGTCTTGTATCAAAGTTGAGCAAGGCAAACCACTATGAAGAATAGGGTACCAAGCGCCAGCAAAAGACTCAAAGATAGGGGGCTGGAGAGATGGCTCAGAGGTTGAGAGCATTGCCTGCTCTTCCAAAGGTCCTGAGTTCAATTCCCAGCAACCAGATGGTGGCTCACAACCATTTGTAATGGGGTCTGGTGCCATCTTCTGGACTGCAGGCATACACACAGACAGAATATTGTATACAATATTATATATATATATATATATATATATATATATATATATATATAGAGAGAGAGAGAGAGAGAGAGAGAGAGAGAGAATGAAAGATAGTCCCTGTGCCCACTGTTAGAAGTCACACAAGAAGACCAGGCTACACAACTGTTAGGCATACACAGAGCACCTAGGTAAGGCCCATGAAGGCTCCCTGGTTGTCTTTGTGAACTCCTATGAGCCCAGGTTAGCTGAATCTATAAGTTTTATTATGATCTTTTTGACTCTTCTGGCTCCTACGATCCTTCCTCTCTCCTGCAGTATTCCCTGAGCTTGACTTAACGTTTGGCTGTGGTCCTCTGCATCTGTTTCCTCCAGTTGCTAGATGAAGCTTTTCTGATGACAACTGGATTCGGCAACAATCTCACTCAGAATGCACAATTAACAACAACAAGTCTATATTTCACCACCAGAGTCCAGTCATCCCCCTACAGCCAGTCATGATGGGATATTTTTCTGACACTACATATAACAACCAAGGAAGTGAATGAGTAGGATATTATTAGAATTCTAACAACTGCTCTTAAAAAGATCACAAAGACAATGGAAGGCAGATCACTAAACAAGAGAAAATGGTTGAAGGTATAACTTATCAAAGACTTAGAGAAAAACTGGTAAGTTTCTTCAACAAGAAAACCATGCAGTTATTAACCAGAAAATCTGAGGAGACACTTCACCAAAGAAAATATTCTGAAAGCATGTAAGTACAGATGATGCTGAATCTTATGTTTCATTAAAGAAATCACACAAGTATGTTATATCCATAAACAATGAGAATCCCGCCACCGTGTCCTAGCTAGTTTAAGTCCATTTGACTAGCCAGATACATTTGGTAAGAGGGACTCTTAACTGAGAAAATACCTCCTAAGATCCAGTTCTAAGGAAGCCTGTTAGGTATGTTCTTAATTAGCAGCTTAATTGGCTGGGAAGGCCCAACCCGGTCCTTGGCGTGAACCCTAAGATTTCAGCCCTGAGCTCTAAGCAGCCTGAAGAAGACAGAGGGAGCATGGCAGCAAGCAGCCCTCCTCTGGGTACTCTGTATCATTCCTGTCTCCAGGTCCCATCCGAGTTGAATTCCTTTGCTTTACTTCCTTCAATGGACTGTGACTAAAGATGATTAAGCTACCAGGTGGTAGTCATGCAATCTTTAATCCCAGCCCTCAGGTGGCAGAGGCAGGTGGATCTCTGTGAGTTTGGGGACAACCTGGTCTACAAGAGCTAGCTCCAGGACAGGCTCCAAAGCAACACAGAGAAACCCTGCCTCAAGAAACCAAAAACCAAAACAATGCTCACATCAATATTAAAAAAAAAATCAGTAATTACTGAGGGTTTAGAGAGAAGAGAGATGGAATAAATTGGTAAGACATGGGCTTTTTAAGGCACTGGTGCTTCATGTATAATATTATAGATGTAGACACATGACATCATACACCAGTCAAGCGAATAGAACCAGGCAGAGTTAATGGTAGTGTGGCTGAGAGTTCTCCATCGGCCGTCAAGAGTGACTCTGGATGGTCCTATTTACAGATGTGCCGCACTAAGGAAAACACTCCTGACAACAGAAACTGTGCTGCTCAAGATTCGTTGTTCTAAAATTGATATGATAATGAAAGCTTATAATTATTTAAGATGGTCAAAATTCTTATTATTTTGTAATTGTTTGGAATTATGCTAGGGTTTATGAATAGAAGTGCAAAGTATAAGTGGCAGGAAATTTAATTTTTCAAACCCTTTATTTTATAATGGTGTATTAAGTTTCTAAATACCTCTATGTCAGCGAACCAGGAAGAGAATTGCTTTCAGTCTTGTATGAAGTATGCAAGAGCTTGTCAATCGTCTCCTACCTTTTCACTAAGCACTACTCGATAATGAAGCTCACAGGAGAAAGATGGACAACAGGCATGAATATTGCTGTTGCTGGGGAGATAGAAGCATTATTCCACATTGATTTCCAGGAATAATATTTAACTTTTTTTGAAAGCACAGAGAGTATAAGTGGAATGAAATGTTTCTGTAACTAAATGAATAACACACAAAAAATTTAAATGACAGTGAATACTAGCTTTATGGGAAGAGCCAGGGTTATTTTGTCCTTAATTTATCTGAAGAGTAGCTGACATAATTTATATAAAACCATCATCTAGTGTTATTCTATCTGGGAGGACAATATGAGATTATAAAGTAACTCTGACTGAGTTTTGACATCTACATAATCAAATTAAGTACAAATGCCATATTCTAGTTGTATATAGAGAAAACCAAAACAAATCATTTCAATGCTACCTTTAAACACTTTATTAAGACCTATTTGTGAAAATAGCAAGAATTATATTTTTTCTCCTAATCATGTAATTTGATTGAGGTATTTTTTTGGCATACACTTTCCATGAAGTGTCTTTCATCTTCTAGCCTTTGGTTTAACAAGTTATTTCAAATAATCTTATGGGCCTTGACTAAGAAGAGGCATTTCATTAAAAAGACTCCCTGATTTTCTAGATGGCTAGGCCAGTCCTGATGTTGTATGGGTATGTCCTGTTTCTGCCTTTTCATACACACATGGCATTTCTATAACTGCTAATCTCTCCTCTGCTACATATTCCCTGAGGATACATAGGGTCCTCGTGGTTGATTTGTTACTCTCCAGGGTCTGAGCACTGCTCTTTGTTCAAAGTGGAACCCTTAAAGTAGTAGTAGTTCAGTGGGTTAAAAAAAAGCATAAAATTTCCAATTAAGTCATGGTAACATTAGGTTGTTTGTCATTCTACATCACTGAAGACAGCAAAGTAAAGATATCGAGTTCAATAATTACCACAGTAAAATCCAAATGTACAAGCAAAAACCAAGTGGTTGCAGTGTTATCAGTTATTTCAAAGGCATTTTGTTTAAAAGATAGACTTAAAGACTATGCCGTTTGCTTAATTTATAGACTATAAATACTTTTTCAAAGGACAATGCAACATCACTGATTACTTACACATAGTCCATGATCATAAAATAACACCTATCAAACAAAATGACAAAGCAATAGAAAAGAAACAAGGTTGCGGGCAGGGATGGGTGTTTGTACCTGTAAGTGATATGTTTGTGTTGCCATTTCTGTCCAGTTAGTGCGTAGCGCTTTCGACGAATGTTGAATTTGGAGCTGCCTCTTGTCTGGTCCGGGACACCACATCGAGGCTTCTTCATCCAACTGAAAAAAAAGTTGGTATTTTTCAGTAACTCTGCTTAATGATTTCAAAGGGAAAACAGACAGCAACCCATAGAGTGATGGGGAAATGGTCCATGTTCAATGTCCTCACAATTTACATCTAAATTGATGCCATACATTTTTAGAAACAGTTAACACAATATGTTACTACGCAAAATTTTCAGTGTATTTACTTCCTCCAGTGTACTGTGAGATAGCTACAGAAAGAAGTTCCTTGAAATTTCTATATAGAATCCACTGTTGAAAAAGTATGTAACCTAGAGGAAATCTTCACTTCAAGTCATCTATGAAACAACACTAGGGTATCATTGAATGGTAACAATCTGTGTGTTGTGCTATTGTCATTTTTAAGGTAAACTTTTCATTATAATTTCTGAGTGTAATAGTCTAATACCTTATAATATATAACTATACTATTCCGCTATAATAACTCAATATGATAATCCATTAGAACATCTCACTATATTATGGTTAGCAAAGGGAACTAATTCTACAGTATAATTTTTTTTTTCTGAGATGGGGTTTATCTGAGTAACAGGTCTCCCTAGCTATCCTGGAACTCACTCTGTAGACCAGGCTGGCCTCAAACTCACAGGGATCCTCCTGAATCTGCCTCCAGAGTGCTGGGATTAAAACTGTGTGTCAATATGACTATCTTGAGTATTAAAATTTATCTCAAACTTTCAGCACGTTTTTGTTTGGGATATGAGAAAACACTTTTGAGAAATAGCATTTTAAAATTTTATTTCATGTATATGAATGTTTTGCCTACATAGATGTCTCTGTACCATATGTGTGCTTGGTGCCCACAGGGTCAGAAGAGGGAATAGATCCCTTGGAACTGCAGTTACTATTGATTGTGATTCACCATAAAGATGCTTGAAATTGGACCCACGGCTTCTGGAAGAGCTGCCAGTGCTCTTAATTGCTGAACCATCTTTCCAGCAGCTCCACAGATTTTTATAACATAAAAGCAGAAGTCAAGCTGACTGGAAGTATTCGTTTTTACAATGTTTAATCCTGAATAGGTAGGTTGGCTTCCCAGGAGTTGGGGCTTAGGATGCATCCCGTTGGACTTGGAAAGGAAGTGATTTTCCTGATAATGAAGTTATTTAGAATAGAATGAGATTGGCTATAACTGTGATAACTGTGATGTCCCCATTTCTCTGAGTATAATAATAACAAAAATAGAAATAAACTTTTAATCTTTAAAAGTGTTACCTTTCTTATAAAGTAAGCAATTTCATTGCTGAATGTTGTTATTCTCATTCATGCATAGTATAAGAATAACTGTTTTGAACAAGTTATACGTGTAAAAAGTTAATTCACTTGCAAAAACAAATGTTTTTTAATTTTGAAGTCATTTTATAATAAAACTCTATCATTTAAAAAAATAACAAAAGCAAAGCAAGAGAAAAGTATACTAAAAATATGTAGATAAATTAATAAATAAATAAGAACCCCCACAAGTTACATTTAAAATTAGAAAACAAATCAGGCATGCCTTACATAACGAGCTTGAATTTCTCAACTTGCTAAAATATATTTTATGCTAACTATAACATTGCCTATTCATTAAGGAATTTAAGTGAGCTTGTTTAAATAATAAATTAGTTAGCCATCTTATAATTTAAAAGAATTATTATACTATTAGACAATGTATTTAGTTTTTGGTGGAGAATAAATGCTACTATCTTTCTAATGTCAGTTCTAATGAACAAAATTGTAATAAAATATTCTATTCAAAGCATTATCAAATTTGTTACTTAGAAGTGGTTAATTATTTCAACATAATACAAGGATTACTGCAATTGGAATAATCACTTTAATTGCCTGAGAATTATAGATCAATTGTACCACATGCCTGTTTGCCAAAGGAGGGGGAGGAATTTTTAAATTTAAATTCAGATGAAGGACTAGAGTGACCAGGGTTGTGAGTATTTGCAGTTCTTGTAGAGGAACTGAGTTCAGTTCTTAGCACCCAGATCTAGCAGTTGACAACTGACTATAACTCAAGCTCCAAGGGTACTTTCTCTCATGTGCACATGCTCCCCAACACACACTCTCCCACACATATATAATTAAAATAAAATGCACATTTAAGATATGACCTGGGAAAAGAGGCACATGGCTATAATCAGCACTCAGGATGGGAAGGGAAGATGTATGAGAGCAAGAAGATTGTGGCTACATAGGATGTAGAAGGCATCCTTGAGGTTATGGAATTGCAATCTCAAATGAATAAACAAACATAAATAAATAACAGTGAACTGAATATATAAATGTGACCACAAAGAACTTAAAACTTAATAACATTTAGAGATGACAATCTCAAATGACAGAAAGGCGTTGTTTTAATAAGCCTGTAAGTTCGGTAAGTATTTTGTTCTTTTGTTGTTTAGAGATAGGCTCTATCGAGTGTAGATTGGTTTCAAATTTTTACACGGGTGTTGAATCTAAACTCACATCATCACCATTGGACAAGGTTGTGGTCTGAACAAGAATGGCCTCCAAAGTTCATCTATTTGAATATTTGGTCTACAGTGGGTGGAAAACTTGGGTAGGGTAGGATGGTCTGGCCTTGTTGGCAGAGGTGTGTCCCTTGGAGAAAGTTTCAAGGTTTCAAAACTCCACAGCATTACCAGTTATCTCTCCACTTCTTGGTTGTGTCTCAATGTGAGGTCTCGGCTACTGCTTTACAGCAATTCTCTCTCCTGGTGCTAAGCTCCTTACTCTGACAGCCATGGACTCGTCATTGAAACCATACCATCCAATAGACTCTTTCTTTTATAAGTTGCCTTATTCACGATGTGTTGTAACAGTAATTGAAATGTAGCTAAGACAAACAGCAAACACACTAAATGAAGTTCAGTGTGCAGTTGCAGTTTTTCGTGACAAGGCTTCACTGTCTAGCTAGTATTTACATGAAACTCACTATGCAGGCAAAAATGGTGTCACACCTGTGCCAAATATCCTACCTCCACTTCTATATTCTTATAAGTGTGGACCATCATATCTTATAATCATGCAGTTTCAGCATCATTATCATTAAATGTTAATTGAATTAAAGAAAGCACAGAGCAATGTGTTTAAAGCATGATTAGGGGGCTTATGTTTCAAAGTATTTGATATGAGGAGACATAGCACCTCAATATTAACTATTTCATTAAAAAAAAACAGACAGAAGGCATACAAAGTCATGGGGCTTCTAGTTTTAGCAACAATAAGGTTTAAGTCCAAGCAATCTAGAGCAAAAGAGGGGCTTCATGAAAGAGATGGGGGAGAGACAAAATCAAAAAGGGTTAACGGTGCTTCTGGAATTTCATCTAGTAATAACTGTCAGGTTATTATCTGTTAAAAGCAAACATGTATTGTGAATTCAAATAATAAAAAATAGGTGTACCATTAATATTCAGTAAAAATAAAAATTAAAAAAACATAAGCAAATAAGCAAGGAAGCAAAAAGCAGGAAGAAATACTCATTTGGTTTTAAGATAAAGATGTCTATTTGATTGCTCTTAATCTCCAGTTCTGTATCACAGAAAGGCTACTGTATTTTATGAACTGACAGGCTCATTTCGCTTGATGTGGAATCTGAGCCAATGAACATCAGTGGAATACTGATGTCCTCTTCAACTCCATAATTTGCATACCCTCCCTCTAGACTACAAGAAAAAAAAAAACTTATCTCCTCCACACTAGGAAATAATGAAACCCGGTATGATCCTCTGTCTTTCTCTAGCTGCTTTAGGTATTAGGAAATTAACCAACCTTTGAATGAGCAGTTAGTCAAAACTGGAGAAACAGATGACAACCTAAGTAGGATTCTACTTTCTTAATTTTTTAAATGATCAGTTTTACTTTGTTATGTGTGGAGCGGGTGGGCAGAGAAGAATGTTACAGTATGTGTGTGTTCCCATGAAGATAACTGATCTGGAGTTGGAGTTATATATGGTGTGAGCTACCTGAAGTACATCATGAACACTGAAATCAAATCTTCTGCAAGATCAATAAGCATTCTTAACCCTGATCTATCTCTCTGGACCCCTTTAAAAGATTGTTCCCTTTTTAAGTTCTGTTTAAGTTTCTTACCATTAATATCTAACAAGAAAAAGATATTTTTTCATTTTTCCTAACACTAGAACATGTAAAAAAAAAGGTATCCTGTTTTCCAAATCCTTAATTTACTTGCATTTTTAAATGTGTTTAAAATTCCAAGGAAATGAAACAAAAGCTAATAGTTCTTCATCAGGTAACAGTAGAATGTTGATACAAAGAGCAGGGAGATTCGGTGAAACAATTTTGTATAATATCCAGAAACAAGATGCAAGACCTGTTAGCAAAACCTACCTTCATTTGTGATAATGGATATTTATATTCTAAAAGAAATGCCTCATGTGTCTTTATGAATAGATACTTACAATGACTGGAGGTACTCAGAGCTGGGATTTTGAAATTCTATCCCCAATATTGATATGAGGGTTATGGATAGATAATTACAATGATTAGGGGTACTCAGGTCTAGAATTTTGAAATTCTATCCCCAATATTGATATGAGGCTTCTAACTGTTACAGAATGTGGTTAATTTTTCATTGATTTTCATTTCACAAGGTCTGGACTAGCCATAAATAAGAAGATGAACCTGAGGAAGATTATTTAGCTATCCGCCAGGAGGTAGGAAATAGACAAGAGTCCCAGGTAACCTTTGGTGCATGGGGGCGGGAGGGTTGTTGGAAGGGGAGAGGGTTAGAGAGAAGAGAGTAGGGGAGGAATGGGTAAAGCTAGGTGGCCTGGGATGGGGGGAGGGAGGAAGGATGAATATGGGATCAGGGAAGAATATATTTCAACTAAGGGAGTCATTTTAGGGTTTACAGGAAACTTGATTATATATGGGATCCCAGGTCCAAGGAGAGATCCCCAGATTGTTCTCTGGACAGAGGAGAGGGTGCCTGAACCGGCCTTGACCCATAACCATACTGATGAATATTTTGCTTATCACCATAGATCCTTCATCTGGCGAAGGACGGCAATACAGACGGAGACCCACATTGGAGCACCAGACTGAGCACCCCAAGGTCCAAATGAGGAGCAGAAGGAAAGAGAACGTGAGCACGGAAGGCAAGATCAGAGGGAACCTTCATCCGACGATGGATGGCGATACAGAAGGAGACCCACATTGGAGCACCGGACTGAGCCCCCCAAGGTCCAAATGAGGAGCAGAAGGAGGAAGAACATGAAAAAGGAAATCAGGACTGCGAGGAATGCTCTCACCCACTGATACAAGGGGACGGATCTAATGAGAGTTTACCAAGGCCAGTTGGACTGGGACTGAACGAGGACGTGATCTAACCAGATTCTCGGAATTTGGCCGGATTCTCTGAATGTGGCTGGCCCGAAGTCTTTCTGAAAAGCCATTGACTATGACACTGGGACTTGTTTCCTCTGCATATACTGGATTTTGGGGATCCAGTCTGTTTGGATACTCACCTTCCTGTACCTGGAGGGAGGGGGGAGGAACTTGAACTTCCCACAGGGCAGGAAACCCTGACTGCCCTAAGGGACGAAGAGGGAGGAGGAGAGGTAGTGGGGGGAGTGGGAGGGTGTTGGGAAGAGGGGCGGAAATGGAAACTTTTATAATTTAATAAAATTACTTTCAAAAAAAAAAACCTCAGGGACTTAAGATCTTAATTTTTAAAACCTACGTTGAAGTTTAATTTTAAAGTTTCAGTCCTATCAGATCCTGCCTTGGTGATACAGAGATACTATGACTAACAGTCTTAAGTGACCATTACAAAAGAAATAGAATTTTAGACTAAATATAGAATCAGAGTGAAGAATCAGAATTTGTTTGAGTCAAGATTTTTCATTTTTACCAAGAAACGTGCATGATACTTTTGACATATCCAGAAGGTAGCCTCCCCAAGCTTGATGCAAAAATGGCTGAGTTGTACAATCACCCTATATAAGCATTTGGCCTCTGATATTCCTCTCCTTTTCTAGGAAAATAAAGAAAAAACATATTTTCCCTATTGTGAAGGTTAATGCATGACCATCAAGTAACAGGGATATATTCACTTAGTGAGTGTCAGGGTGCTAAGAGGAAAAAAATATCAATCCCTTCTTTGTAATAGAGAACCATTAATTATGCTTCATGATATTACACAACCTTCTAGAAGCCTGTGTCCAATATACTATGCCAATGCATGCCATGAACACACAAAATTATGTTACCAAAAAGGTAGTAAATTTGTTTTTTGTAGTCTTTCACTAAGTTTACACCTGAAGAACCACTTGTTTAATCTACAGATGAAGAAATAATGGATAAAAAACCAAATTAGTAGCTGTTATTACAAGGCATGAATAAGTTCTTTCCAGTGAAAAATAGTATTTAATGTTTAGATTAATATTTAGATTGCTGTCACTATAGGTACCTAGCAAACTTATAATAGCCCATTTCTGAATTTTCCACACCAGAACAACATAAGAACATTATTTGTACTGTTTCTCTCTTTCAACTGTTCAAACACATGCATCTTATCCCATCCAACAAGATAATATTTTGCAGAGATGTGAACTCTCACAAACCACACAAAGCAGGTAACACTAATTGCTACTCCATACAGTGTCTTAAAACATGCATTTACTTTGTCTCCTGCTCATATTTTCTTTCCTGATACAAAATGTGTTAAAACAAGATGAGCAACCTGACGTTGTATGTGCATGATATTAGAAAAGCCTCAAAAGACTGGGGTTGGAAATAGGATACATTCCAAAGAAAAGTTTATAGGAGCAAAATATATCAATAGTGGTTGCTGAAGTCTGTGTAGTTTGGGCGACAATTTAACTAGGCTCAAGAGTCAATGAGAACAGGAATTGGGAGGACATTACTTACTCAATTGTGTTTCTGTCCACTTTTCCTGTCATGTTAATGCCATAGAATTGTTGCATGGCAGCTAGGGCCGATTGCATGGTCTCTGCAGAACGCAGCACAGACATTCTGGGATCAGTCGGTGGAAGGTAGCCGTATTTTTGTAACCAAACCTGTAATCACAAGCACAGTTCCTTTAGATCACCTTTACAATTTAACAATATTGTTATGGAAGTTGATTGATCTCGACACTATATGGTAAATTTATTTGATATATTTGAAATAAACATTATATACTTTAGATTACCTTATGATTTCCAAAGTGGTTGTAGACATTTCTAACATATTTTACATGTGAATGAGTAAAAAGTGTGATTAATCACTACTTATGTATTGACTGTACATAATTTCTATACCTAATATGAAATAGATATACAAATAAGATTTCATGTGTCCTCCAGGAACCAAACTCTAAAATCATACTTTTCCAGAAGTCGGTCAAGACATCTTTGCAATAAGGAGTAAGAAATATGCATAGGATGTATCTAAAGAACTTTTTCTATGGACAATTAAGCAATGACTGAAGTTGGGATTGGTATCTTTACAGAGGACCTATGCTATTCATGGCATTTGCATAGAATATTCACGTAAACACTTTGCCCAACTGTAGCTGGATAGTCTCAAGAATGTATAACACTTTCATATGAAGAATAATTATTACTTAATGTAATTCATAATGTGAAATTGATAAATAATTTTCTATATTCTTAGATGTTTAGTTTCCTGATTCTCATCTCTTCCTCAGAGAAAAGACTTGGGAGGATTGTGAGAGAAAGAAGTTAGAGGAAAGGAAATGTTCTCATCTGAATTGAATCAAACGGTTAATCATTTGAAGTCACAGAAAACAAAACAACAATTAAGGGCGTTTGAGGAAAAGAATCCATCCCCACCAGGAGGACAGGCATACTTTCCCAGAGTCTCATGCCTTCACTTGTGTACAAGTGAAGTACAATCTTATGCCCATCCATATCCTAGCATGCGATCCCTTGCCTCAGTCTTCCCAGGGGTTCCAGGGTTTCTTTAACAGCAGTGAACTACTTGACAAAATGCTAAGTCTTATGTCATTGCAGCAGCACTTAGGGAAGTCATTCAGCTGGGTGTGTGTCTCTCCCTGAGGTGGTCTAGTTATCATGCACGTGATTATATGGGAGGGCAATTTTCTGTAATAACTGACATTATATAAGTTATAACTATTGCTCAGAAAATTCAGTTTCCAAGCATAACTATCCAATACAGACAATACATTTTATAAAAGATAATATTAAATATGTGGGATTTAAAATGTGAAAAGAAAAGGATAAACTTCCATAGATTCTCAAAAATTTACACCCCTAAAATTACAATCTGTATGTATCACCAGCTGATAAAAAAGCTATGTAAAATGGGCACTGCAGTGCAATCAGGACGGTGATTGGTAAAAGTCAATCTTGAAAAACAGCCACCTAAATGATAAAAGTGTGTCATGATGCCTCTCTTCTAATCTGTAATGAGCAGGCTGCCAGAGAAAGTCATTCAGTCACCTATTTAGCAGTGGTGAAATCAGAGAAAGACTCTGGTATTTTCTGAATGAAGGAGGCAGTCAATAATATTACTTAGTATGAAATTCAATATTTTAATTCAATTGCTAAAAAGACTTTAATAGTATACATGAGCAAAATATTTTAAGCTCAGTAAATTTTCTATAACAGCACATTTATGCCTCATGTCCTAGTGGTCTGTTGCTAGGTTACATTTTGGTGCTCAGCTACTGGCAATTTCATTTATAAGAACAGTAAAGAGAAAACTATTCATAAGAAAACCCATGATTTATGTTAAAATATAGTAAATACAAAAATACATAAATATGAAGTGTATAATGAAAAATATGTTTTAGAAAAGGTACATTTGATTTGAATTATGCTTTAAGCTTTCCAAAACAAGTGATTTCAAATAATGTAAAAATGAAGTTTTGTATTCCTTGTTTATTCTCTTATATTTTACTATTTATCTTGAATTGCTGCTTTTCCTGATGGACAAATGAGTAATTCTTTTTAATTATAAAACATCATACAAGCTGTGAGACTTTCCATCTTACAATCAGCTTATTTTGAATGATATATCAGGATGTTGTCAGCAGAGAAGGAAATTTTTCTACAAAAAAATTTTGAAAAAAAATCTGCAAAGTAATATTTAAAGATTTACCTTACGTCAGGTTATTAATAGTTCCCAAGGGTAATAATATGGCATCTATTTTTGTATCTGTTTCATTAATCACACATGCTTACTTATAGGTGTATATAAATATATATGTATATATGGGCAGATATGTACATCACATTTAACAGCCTACAATACAGACATGCATCCTCATATGCTGCCAATCCAAATGTATTCATCCCTTAAACTTTGATTTAAACTCCTGATACTCCTAGATCACTGATAAAAGCAAATTTGTCTCCAGAGATAAATTTTGTGACTTGGAATCTTTCCAGTACATATTCAGTGCCCAAATGCACATTATGGGTACTTAGGGAATATATTCTTCAAATGTGCATTTAAGGACAACATGAGGCTGAAGACAGAATATATAAAACTCAAAGCAAAATCCGTGATCAGTAAGTCATAGTATTTATGCTTTTTATTACTAAAATTGTGCCTGTTCAAGTGGAAATTTGCCTTAAAATAAGACAAGTTTGAACCACAAGAGGATTTTAAATAGCCTTGGGAAGCAGAGGCCAAAATAAAAGAATCATTCACTGCTTGAAAATTCTCCATATCTCAAAATATGGGGAATGTAAAATATTGCCAAACTGGGCCTCGGTGAATTGTTAAGCTTTATTTATTTTATTTTAATGTTGTCATTAGAAGAAGAGAATTTAAGGCCATTGAAAACATTAACAATAGGGAGGTTCATCAATGAAAACTGACCTGACTTCAATCTAGAAATTTTAGTTATTGTCACTAGAACAATCATAAACCTCAAAGGGATCAACGTGATTTCACTCTAACTGTACTCTCCATGTCATACCTTACCCATATATATTCCTACCTTTCATATACCATTTATTTCAAATATTTAGTGGTATATGTATTGGAAGCACAACCTAAAACAATGCTTCTTTCGACAGAGTGGGATCTTTCAAGTGATTGTTAAAAGAATAAATGACTGCCAAGAGGTATCACCCTCATTAATTTGACCTATAAATAGGAAGTATAGTGGCATATTAGTTGTATTTTAATAAATAAAGCTTGCCCGAAAGCCATTGCAAAGCAGCCACACTAGTCAGTGATACAGACCAGGCAATGTTGCACATACCTTTAACCCCACCAGACACACTAGTCTGCCATACTGGCCAGGCAGTGGTGGCATACATCTTTAAACCAAGAAGCCGCACTAGTTAACCACGGAGACTGAACAGTGGTGGTGCATACTTTAATCTCAGCAGTAGAGAGGAATATACAGCAGAATGAGACAGGAACTATTTTTTTTTTTCAGTATGAAGATTTCATGAAGGTAAGAGTGGCTTTGCTGTTTTGTTTCTCTGATTTTTAGGTTGAACCCCTATCTGTCTCTGGGTTTTTATTATTCATTCTACATGTAAGCCATTTTTAAAGAAGTCATCAATAATATTTAATGTATACATATCATGAAAAATCTACATTAACTAGTTCAGCTAGACATATCATTTTAAAGGTAGTATCTTAACTGAAGTTTTCAATATAAGAGGATGTAAGTAGGTCTCATAAAAATTTCCTTTAGTCTTTCATGATAATTCATCTCTTGAAGCTTCAGATTAAGGTAAGGAAAAATAAATCACAGATGCCAGATCAATTAAAATACTTTTCTTATGATAAGTTATAGTAATAGGTTAGGCAATAATGATAGCTCTGTATATTTCCAAATCGATCACACACCTTTAAACCAAAATCAAATGTTTATGTATGTTTTTGATAACTAAATTTATTAGTGTTGAGGAGTATATATTTTAAGAATTGGAAAAAATCTTTGGCGGGTATATAAAAAGGAGTGGGTTTGGTATTTTATTTGACTTACAAAAATAACTTTTTAAAGTACCTTTTTATCACCTTGATAATGCAAAATACTTATTGGTTACTCCATATAAACCTTCCACATAAATATACTAAGTTCTCTTATAAATTAAAATTAACACCTGGGTGACTAACTCAATAGTTTATGATGTCATCAGCAAAACCACAAAATCTGCAGGATATTTCCTGAAATTCTATCATTCACAGCGCATAAGCAATGATAAAATTTACAGTTTGCATTTTGTAGCTATAAAATGGCTATAAACATGAATTTTAAGTGTCTAGTAATGAAAATATTAAAATGATGAATGTGTCTTCACCCAGAATTGGTCAAGCTGAAAATTAATAGACTAAGTTAACAGGACAAAAATCGGCCTTTTTCTTTACTCAGAAATCCAAATGGTTCCATATCACATTTCCACCCCCTAACATGAATGAATCACTGTATTTTAATTCACACATAATATTCACTCCACTGAGAAATTACCATCTGTACAATGGATTACAAATCTGGAATAAAACAGAGGGATTGTGCTCTGGTTAGGCTTTTTTTTTTTTTTTTTTTTTTTTTTTGTCAATCTGTCACAAATTGTGGTCATCTGAAAGGAGAAATCACAATGGAGAAATGTCACCCCACAGACTGGCCTATAGACAAGACTGTGGGGATATTTTATATTAATGATTGATGTGGAAGGGCACTATTCATTACAGGTTGTGCCATTCAGAGGCAGGTGGTCCCAGGAGGTATAAGAAAGCAAACTGAGCAAGACAGGGATATCAAGGCAGTAAGCAGTTCTTGTTCATGTTCTTTCTCAGTTCTTGCTTCCAGGGTCTTGTTTTTAGACCTGACTTCCCTTCACAGATTGTAAACTGTCAGAAGGCAATAAACATCATGACTATATATTTTATATCAAACTGAAACGTTCTCCTTCATGACAGAATCTAAAATGTATGTACGTTACAGTAAGGATAGTTTTCCTTTCTACATAGGTAAATTGCACTATGTACTTGGTTGCAATAGAATCCAGGCTCTTCAAACAGTAATGCCCAATCTTCAGTGACAAAGCTGGGTAGCTCACTTAAT